CGCCCTCCTCCTCCTCCTCCTCCTCCCCAGCTCTCGTGCTAATCGAGAGCAGGCAGTCTCACGGATCATGAGAAGCCTGCGCCCACGCTGGGGTCTCTCTCTGCCCGAGTAGTTCTCGGGCCGTGTAGTCTCCGCAGCACCTCCTTCGTGCCTCGCATGAGGATTTCACGTTTTGAAAGCACTGAGTTTGCGCAGGTGTGTAAACTCCTCGATTCTGCCTTCCTTGCTGGGAGGGGGGGGGCGCCCGTTGCTCGGACGCCTCCCCCATCGCTCGGGACCTCCTCCTCCTCCTCCTCCTCTTCCTCATCTTCCTTGTTCTCCTCCTCCCCCTCCTCCTCTTCTTATTACTAGCATTATGTGCATTATCAATCGCATTGTTATTAGTATTATTCTTATCAATGTTATCAGCCTTAGCAGTATTAATCTTATTAGTAGGAATGTTAGTATTATGTGTATTACGATTATTAGTGTCAATATTCTTATTGTCTGAATAATATGACTCTTAAAATTAGGTTTTATTATTATTCGTCTTCTTCTTCTTCCTCCTCCTCCTGTCACGTGAGATCTGCCCGCCTGCTCTGCGGTCCGCCCACCCGCCCCCCCTCCAGACCTCGAGCCCCTCGAGCACCCGGGGAGCTCGGCGGCCGAGCTGTGGACGAAGCCGAGCTGCGCCTCCGCCGTCTTGGTCCTACGTTTAGGTCGGGCACGTCCTCCTACAGGCGGATTTTGGGCGAAAAATTGAAAATAGTCAATAAACATACAAAAATGACCGAAAATAATAGAAAGATCGTCCCCCGACCATTTCTTGACTATTTTGGGATCTTCCTCCTATTGAGGGACAGGCCCGACCTAACCCTACGTGAGATCAGCGCGCGAGCTGGGAGTCCAAGGGTGGCCCCAGGCAGTACTAGAACCGAGGCAGGGCGAAAGCCAGATGTGTCGAAATGATCTTGGCCGTATTGGTAGGCGTGGGCAAATATTGAAGACAACTGGAAGACTGCTCCAAGCTTGGCGTTTGGCTAGCGGGCAGCTTGAGGCAAGCGAAAGGCAATACACCGACAAGCTGTGGCAGCTGTGGGGAAATCCAAAAGCAAGCTGCAAGGCAAGGCAGCTGCAGACCAAAGAACAGCTAGAAGCCAGCTCGAAGCAAGGTTGGTATCAACTCAAAGCAGGCTCGAATCGGCAATCCGCCACCGCGCCCCCTAACACATTGAGGCATGGAATAATGCCAAGGTCTGCCGGTAGGGTTTGTGAAATCTACTGGGGGACCGCTCCTCCCTCTACCCGAGGACTGTCGAATGTATCCCCCCTACTCACCGAGGCCACTTCGATCGTGCCCGCTCGAGGATGGTGCACTTCCAGCATGGCAGCCAATGTCTAAACCTCCATTCCAAGCGTACCCCCTCGACGATGGTGCACATCCCGCATAGCAACCCGTACCTGAACCCCCTTTCGCACATGCCCGCTCGAGGATGGTTCACTTCGCGCATGGCAGCTAATGTCTGAACCCTCATTCCATGGATGCTAACTCCTGGGCCCCTCATCCCACACGCATCCGCTCGAGGATCATGCACTTCCCGCATTCCCAGCCGCTGCTCACAAGCGCTCCAGGGCCTCCCAAGCAACGACCCCTCGTTGAAAATAATAGATATGCTTCCCGAGTTTCCAAGACAGCCCGCTCAGGCAACCAAGGACACCAAGATGGCACAAGGTGTCTCGACGACAACCAAAAGATGGCCCCAAGGAGGCCGAATACTGGTTCGAGACGGCCCAGGATGCCTCTGGGAGAGCCCAAAATGGCAACACGAGGACCTCCACCAGGTTCCGAAGAAGCCAAAATCAATGGTTTCCTCTGGGCTGTTGAATGATATTGGCATTCTTGCCTTGTCGAGCTGCCGTCAGCTCAAGACGGCCCAAGAGGATCCAACGATGGCTCGAAAGGCATCCAAGCGGGCCCCAAGACGGCCCAAGAGGACCTCCCGTAGGACGCAAGACGACCTTAGAAGGCCCTTCCACGGCCCAAGACGGCGCCGAGACGGCCGCACGACGGCCCCCAGACACCCATCATATGGTCAAGAGGGCCCCAAGACGGCCCAAGAGAGCCCCAGGCCAACGTAAGAGAGCCCACAGACGGCCCAATAGGCCCCAAGGAACCCCAAGATTGCCTCACAGGAGACCAAGACAGCCCCAAGACGGCCCAAACGAGCTACATATTCTTCTTCACTTGCATGCTGATATTCTTCTTCTTCAGCATCATCATCAGAAGCATCATCAGCATCATTATTATTATCATCAACAAAAGTAGCAGCATCATCCGCATCAGCATCAGCGTCAGCACCATCATTATCAGAATCGCCATCATCAGCAGCATCGTCATCATCGTCATCATCCTCGCTCAACATCATCATCATCATCATCATCATCATCATCATCATCATCATCATCATCATCATCATCATCATCATCGTCATCATCATCATCATCATCATCATCATCATCATCAGCATCAGCATCAGCATCAGCATCATCATCAGAATCATCATCATCAGCTGCAGCATCCTCATTAGCATCAGTATCGGCATCCTCGAGAGCATCATCATCATCATCATCAGCATCATCATCATCACCATCATCACAACCACCACCCACCATCACCACCAGCAGCATCCGCATCGTCGTCATCAGCATCGCCATCCTCATCATCTCCAACACAATCACAATCATCACCAGCATCATAATCCTCATCAGCGTCCTCATCATTATCGACGACATCGGCAACGACATCGTCGACGGCAACGTCGTCGGCGTCGTCGTCATCATCGTTATCGTTATCGTCGTCATCATCATCATCATCAGCATCATCATCAGCAGCATCATCATCGTCGTCGTCATCGTCGTCGTCATCAGCAACAGCATCATCCTAAGCAGCACCATAATCGTTATCATCAGCTGTATCATTATCATCAGCATCAGCATCATCATAGTCGGCATTACCGTCCTCCTCATCGTCATCAGCATCACCAGCATCATCATCACCATCATCATCGTCACCATCAGAATCATCATCATCATCAGCAGCATCAGCAGCATCCGCATCAGCATCATCATCGTCGTCATCATTAACATCATCATCAGCATCAACAGCAACAACAGCATCATCATTATCGGCATCATCTGCAACATCCTCTTCAGCACCATCGCCATCAATGGAATCGTCATCGGCATCGTCGACGTCAACGTCGGCGACATCGTCACTAACATCATCAACATCAGCATCAGCATCAGCATCATTAGCATCAGCATCAGCATCAGCATCATCATCATCATCAGCAGCATCATGACCATCATCATCATCATCAGCAGCAGCATCATCGTCGTCGTCGTCAGCAGCGTCATCGTCATCATCATAATCATCGTCGTCGGTAGCATCGTCAACATCGTCATCATAAGCATCATCAGCATCATCATCACCATCATCGTCATCACCCCCATCATCCTCACAATCCTTATCATCCTCATCGAGGCTCTGCCAAGCCTGGAAGCACGAGGTGTCACACGTGACGGCCTCCAGTGCCAACTCAAAAAATCGTCACCGAGAAAACTGGGCTGGCACTGTGGCGGGGTTTGCCGCAGGCAACTGGATACCAAAGCAATATGAACTTGGCGAGCTAAAGCACGACGCAGGCCCAAACCCAGCTTAGCGCAAGCCATCGCCAAGGT